TTGGTTGGTAAATATTTTCCAGGTTATAATTCTCAATAAAATAATTTCTAAACAAATTAATTCCCTGTAAAACATTTTCTTTCCACCCATTTTTCACATTTGCAATCAAACGGATCCTTGGAAATTTCTGCCGTTAGCTTTTAGATTAAATCTTTCGTTGGACTTGGATTGAGCGAAAATAATTGGTATGTTTAACTGAATAATTGACAAAAAATAAAATAAAAATATAAGGTCGATTAAGCCCCTGTTTGGCCCCCATTTTTGGGGGGTTGAAAATTTTTAGAATAGTGATTGAGGGGGGAATGTGTGGTTGAAAGGTTTTAGATTTGTGTATAATATTATTTTATTTGATGAATGTGTGGTTGAAATGAAGAGAGAAAAAAAAAAATAATGTAATGAAATTTAATTTAGGGCATGTTTGAAAGAAATTTGTGTTTCATTTTTAGACATTTTATTACCGTTGCACAGTTGTCTTCGACCCATTTCCAACAATATCTGACACACAAATCTGCACCCTAGAAATTGGTAAGTTTCTCTCTCCATAATTTCCCTTTTTACCCCCATTATCAACCACTCAAATTAATTACACAATACTTACAATTCAGGGGTAAAAAAGGAAATGCTTGAGAGAGAATCTTACAATTTTCAAGTCAACAATGTCATGCGTCAGACATTGTAGAAAATGGGCGATAAACTACTGTGCAACTGTCATTAAGAGCCTATTTGGTGCGCATTAAAATGAGAGAATGAATTTTTTTTTGAAGTGACGTGATAGGGAATATATAATTGAAAATATAGGAAAAGTTATTGATATGATGAAAATATTATTTTATTAAAGAATGTGTTGTTAAAAATGAGAAAAATAATGAGAATGGAAAAATAATGTGAGTCAAACAGGGGCTAGATTTCTACAAATGAATCCAAAAATTTCTCACAAATAGGCGCTAGATATAAATTTAAGAGAAGAAAATTGTAATTTCGAAACTCGACTTCTGTGATTCAAATTTTTTGTGATAGTGAAATACTGCAAATGATCAATATTTTTATACTACATTTGATACATAAGAATTACTTTCTAATACATGAATTTAAATACCCATTAAAATTTCTAAATACACGAATACAAATAAATTCATTTATAATGACTCTAAATTCATGTAGATCAAGATTCATCAAATCAAGATTCATTGAATCTATATTAA